CTGGCGGAGAGGAGAGGCGGGCGGGTGCGCTGGTGATGCGAGCGAAGGGCTCTCCCCAAGCCATCGCAGGAAGGGTGTCCCTTCTTCTAGGGCATCGGGAGCTCAGCCTCCAGCAGCGCCCACAGCCACCGCAGCGCACACTCTCCGGGCTCGGTAGCGGGGGACACACGGGAGCCATGTGCACCACCAGCGGAGTGGGGGCACCGGGAGGGACTGGTTAGGGCAGGAGGCGCCCTCACTGGACGCGGTATAATGCTAAGTAGGAAATGAGGCTGCAAAATCTTTTCTTTTTTCTTAATGGGGGGAAAATGTCAAACCCAGTGCCTAGAAAAATAAAACCCTGGAAGGTCGCACACTAATTTATTAACAGTGGTTAATTCTATATGACTGCTTCAATTTTTATTTTTTCTTTATATTTCTGTATTTTCCACATTTCCAACAACTAGCAAGTATAACTTATAATCAGAGAAAATAAATGTTATTTAAGATCAAATGAAATGGCTAGAAGGATTTCTCCTATGCTCTTAAAAAAAAAAAACCAAACCAGCAGCAGCTCTGTGGAAGGAGGGTGCATTGTGGTCTTAGCCCTGGGCTCACCTTCCAGCTCCAGAACTGATTAGCAGGGGTCCCTCTCTCAAGACACTGAGCTTCTCTCCATCCCAGAGTCCTTACCTGTAAGTGGGAATAGCGGCTCTTTTAGAATTCCATGAGAGGAAATATTGAGAGTGCCTAGTCAACATGCCTGGCATGTTCAATAAGTATGTTCAATAAATATTGGTGTCTCTTCCATCCTGAAGCAAGGGTGGGGTGGGTGGGAAGGAAGGACCAGATATCGGGGTGAGTCAGTTCAGTCTGCTGCCCAGAGTACCCCCACCATGCCCGATTCCTCCCCAGGGCTGAGGCTTGTTCTCTCTCTTCCCCAGTGCCTCCCCTTCCTGAGCCTGCTCCCCCGACCCCCAGCCTCCGCTCATTACTCTAATAGAAGCCAATCTTCCTCATCTCAGGCCCCATTGCCACCCACAGAGACAATTGGGCTGCCATTCTGCTGGATGCTGGAAGGCGGCTGGCCAGCTCCAGGGTCATTGTTCGGAATGTCACTGAGAGCCTGATAGGGAGGGGGCCGTAGGATGGAAGTAGGGCTGCAATTACCAGCCTATTCAGTTCCCCAGAATAAAGCCCTGTCATTAGTTAGCAGCGGGAGGAGGTGGGGAAGTGGGAAGAAAGAGCCTGGCATGCACTTGCTGGCCCCTGGCTGGCTGCTCTGGCTCCACCTCCACACCCCCCCACCTGAGGGCCTAATTACCCTAGTAAGCATTGGTCGTTTGCCTAGGGGTTTGTGAACCTAGGCACAATGTACGGTGGTCCAGCCTCAGAGGCCTTTGCTAGCCTCATAACTGCCCCACTGTACCCCAGTCCCTGATACCCACCCCTCAGCCTCCCATCTTATAGACACCCAGCTTCCAGACTTGCTCAATTTTGGGTCTTCCCACTCCTGGGGAGCATCGCTCCCTGGCAGGCTCCGGGTCCCAAGACAGAGTTTCTCCTGACCCCATCCCCAAAGGCTGCTCTACAGGTGGCTGGGGAAGGCTGTCCTGGCACCCACCCACTGAGGGCTGGGGCTTTGCTGCCTCTTTGGGACCTGTGCTGCCTCCTGGACCACCGCAGCTCTCCCCTGGGCTGAGGGTTTGCCTCAGGCTGCAGCAGCTCCTCTTTAGCGGTAGGTCAGAAGCGCTGTGGGTGATCCGCTTATATAGATCAGCTGCCACTGCAGCCCCAGGGAGTGAGCCCAGCGCTGAAGGAAAGGGATTCTTGCTCAGCCCTGCAGCTTGGGGTCGCGGGGGGACGGGGAGGGGACCAACACCTTAAACTTGTGCTGTCCTTGGTCACCACTGGCTTCAGCCAGGGTGCAGGGAGAGAAGGTGAGGGAGCCTCCATGGCCAACTTGGAGTTCACACACCGAAGGCCCTAGTGACCCTGAGATCTGACTGGTTGGTTTGGCTTCCTTATTGGGGTCTCCTGCAGAGACCCATTGGCTTATCCCTAGAAACCCTCCAAGGAGGCTGATTCAGGTGGAGCCTGGCTGAGCTCATGGGAGACCAGACTGACCGGTGGGGAGGGGCCTGGCTTGTGGGGCCCAGGATCTCCTCGGGGTGGCCCAGAGGGCTCTGTGACCCACCCACCCTGTGCTAGTCCTCAGCCTGGCCGCCCACCTTGGAACATTCTTGTAGAGAAACTCACAGGGAGGCTTGGGCTACACTCTCTGGAGGCGGGACACCTGGGTAAAGGGAAAGGATAAGGGGCGGTGAAGGGGTCACTGATAGGGTTGGGAGCAGGGATGTTGGGAATCTGATGGGAGACAACTTATCACAGGATGGAATTCCCCCAAGAAGCCATGAACACACAGACCAACTGACACATACACTATCGGACTGTTAGAAAACATCCAAAGGGCCTCCTCCCAGAGAAGCCAAGAACTGACATCAGAGAGACAGACAGACAGACAGACAGACAGAAACACACTCTAGGAAACTACAGAGCAGACAGACAGGACAACTGGGAATAGTTGGTAACAGAGGCAGACAGCAGCAGAAGGTCTGGACCAACTTGGGGGCAGTCTCCCCACCCCACACAGAGGGGAGGGGTGCAGTAGGCAGTGCTTACAGGTCTTCCATGAACCAACGTTCAGGGAAATCTCCCCCCTCCCACCATCTTCTCCAGAGCAACCCCATGCCAACCTCAGCACCTGCCCCTTGAAGGGGAAACTAAGATACGCCATTTCCTACCATCCCACCCCCAATCTTGGAAGAGGAGCCTATTCCCTTGGCACCCCTGCCCCCATAAGGGGACAGCACCCCTCCCCTCCCCCCGCATACACCCACCTCTCTTTCCCACACCACACACCAGCTCCTCCTACTCCTTCCACCTGGAGCCAGGGCTGCAGGGTGGGCTGGCCAGGCAGTTGAAGGAGTATTGGCACGTGAAAGAATGGAAGGGGTGAGTGTGAGAGAGAGGAAGGACCAACTGTGGAAATCCCAGGGGAGGATTTCTGTTGCCGGCGCCTCCCCAGGACTGAGCTTCTTGAGGACGCTATGTTATCCATCCTCACCGATGCCCAGTGCTTGGGTAGCAGCAATTAAATGTTGGCTGAATTGAGTTGCATTGATGGAGTGGGAGGCAGACTAGATGGCTCTTCTCTCTCCTCCTCCCCTGGCAAGGAGGACATTATTAGGAAGAAGACTCGGCCTGTCTGAACAGTGACAGCTCAGAGGAAGGAGCCAGGGCGCTCCAGCTCCTTCCTCCCAGATCACCCTCATGCTGCCCGACTCTCTGTCCTCTCCTCTTCTCTCCCTCTGTCTCATTCTCCCATTTTACTTCTTCCTTCCAGTTTCCAGATGAGCCATTTTTAACTTGGGGGCATCACAGTGCCCCACTAGATGAGGAGGTCCTCAAGGATCCGAGTGGCCTCACTTGTCCTCACGTCCCTGGACACGGAACTCAGCACAGAGACCACCGGAGCATCGGCACAGCACTTGGTCCTTCCCTTTGCTTTCCATCCTCCAACTTGGTCGGCCTGAGGGAACAGCCATGCTGTCCTCAGCCCTGGATTTAAGGATCTTGAAGGTGGGGGCCCTTTATTTTGGCACAACTCCCATGGTTCCCTCCTTGGAGTCCTGCCTCTTCCCCTTCCCCCTCTGACTTCCCTTTAAGGGAAAATAAGTAGTAATGCCTCTCAGGGGACGGTTTTCTGTCCCCAAGCTCAATAGATACCATCTCTGATTACTATCTAGTTATTGTCCAAGGAATAAAGGGAGAAAGATCATGGAATCAATGAATCTTAGACCTGAAATGGCAAGCAGTGCGAGTCAAATATCCTCAGTGCGAGTCTGGGCATTGGTCCCTACTGGCTGTGATTGTGGGCACGTCCCTTGAGTCTGTGAACCCTATTTTCCTCTCACATAAGACAGGGACAATGAAACCTGCAGTTGATAGGCTCAGTGAGATTATATGTAAATGTCACTTTCTAATTAGACCAACCCCTTCATTATACAGATGTGGAAAGTGAGGCCCAGGGGAGTTAAGTAACTTGCCCAAATTCTGACGACAGGACACCGTAGATGGGGCAAATCTCAGGCCAGAATCCAAGTATCTTGACTCCCAGTAAAGTAAAGAACAAGTAAAGAAAAGAGAAGTGTGCTGAACTGAGACAGAAAAATTGGTGGAAAGAAAAGAGAAGAAAGTGTAATAAGGGCCAAAGGCCAACAACACACACAGATCAGGATGAGGGAGAGAGGAAATGGATGTGGGCAAGGAAGAGAAGACATGGAGGAACAGACGGCAAGAGAGAGATGAAGGTGGAAGGAGAAAGATGAAAGCATGACGGAGAGAGAGACTCCGAGGACAGGAGGCAGGGAGAAAGAGGAAGCATGAATAACCCAAAACAAGATGGAGAAGAAAGCCTGGGACAGTGACACTGAACCCTGACTTTTCAATACCTCCCCTTCCTTCCCAGGTTGTCAACTAACTCAAGGAAGGTTGAAAAATCCTTAAAATTAAACTCAGTCATCTTGGCTCCTTTATGGATGGAGAAAGATTAGAGAGAAAAATGTAAATATTTGTTGTAAGAGGAAGGATGGACACTGTCATGGGTTGAGTGCCTACCGAGAGCTAATCACCTGCCATGTGAGGTACATCTATGTATATAATCAAATCGCCTCCCTTGATGTTTAAAAAATTCTGTTTATATGGGCTGTTTAGTGGGAAGGAGAGTAGGTTTAGAATTTGAACAGTAGGGTGCGGTGATCTCAAAAGTTGGGAATGGCTCACTGGGTTCCAGTGGAAGGAAAGAGAAATGGAAGTATGAGGAAGGAGGGGAAAACAGAGAACAAACACAAACACAAGACTCAAGAGGAAGAGGCCAAATGGTGCAGCGGTGTGCGTGTCGCTCTGAGGGGCAGGACAGTGCGGGTGGGGAAGGGAGGAGCGTCCACAGTACTTCCCACCTTTGAGAGGCCAGGTCGGAGCCGGCGGGCTTCTGCTCGGCGTCGGCGGCTGGGCAGCAGAACTGGTGCAGCACGGTCTCATTCCTGAGGGAGGGCAGAGGGAGAAGGTCAGGGTGTGGCAAGACAGGCCGGGCCCAGCTCGGTCCTCGGACACCAAGGCATTTCTGCCCTGAAACCTTGCCCTGGGTAGCGCTGAGGCCACCCCATGCTGCCCCCGGGAAGGGACAGCACTGACTCTCGGCCTCAGGCCCTTCTCTGTCACCCACAGGCCCCGTGCAAACACCGCCTCCTGCTTGCAGCCTCCCTGACCTCCTGTCCACCCCTCCTACTTCTGCATCCCATCTCCCAGGCAGGCTTCTCTATGTAGATGCACCATTTATTCTGCTCTATCTTTCATCACTATCGTCATTAGTTCTTTATAACCCTGTTATAAGGTGTGGCAAGGCAGAGCTAAGTGTGTTCATCTGTCATGCACAGAATTGCATGCAGTAAACATTTTTAAGCTGATCATATACAAAGACACAAAGTGCTCAAACAGAGGTTTCAGTGTGGCCGGCAGAAAATCCAAGGTCTGGGCTTGATGAGGGATTGATATAATGCCGAAGAAAATACCAACCTGAAGGCAGAGATCTGGGTTTTAGTGCCAACTCTCCAGCTAGCCAGCTGGAGACACCAAGTTCACCTTTTCTGGGTCTCAGTGTATTTACTAAGGAAATAAGGGAGTTGAGCTGGAGAAGTGGTTCTCAGCCCTAGCTGCTTATTAGAATCACCGGGAGATTTTTTTAAACTACCGATGCCTGGGCCCTCCCCGCCCGCAGGGACTGATTCCCTTGGTCTGGCCTGCGTTGGGGGCACCAGGACTGTTTATAAGCTCCCAGCTGATTCTAAAGGCAGCCAGAATTGACAGCCATTAAACTCGATGATTTCCAAGGTCGCTTCCACTCTGAAATGCTGTGATTCTGACATCCACTTTGAGCCACCTTGGGATTCAATATTGAAACTACTTTTGGGTAAAGTTGTCCTGATCTGTTGCCTTGCCTCCCTTAGCAAGCAGTGGCCATTATGGAGTCAGAGATCGTCAGACATGGAAGGGCCCCCAAAGATCACCTGAAAGGGATGTTTGAACTTCCTTTAGCTTCAGAACCTTTTGTCCAAAACCAGTCTTTATGGAAACCCATTTTGTAAAACAACCAAAGAACAGCTCCAGGGTCAGGAAGTGGTGGTGGTGGTGGCGCTGGTGGGGTCTGTGCCACCTCCCTGACATCCTAGCCCCAATCTTGGTAGCTATCTCTCACCCATCACTTGGGGGCCCCTTGGCTCCGAGAGCACAGACTGGAACTGCTGAGTTTGGCTATCCTCATGGAACAAAATAACATTGAAGCCTACCTTAATTTGACAAAAATAAATCTCAGAGAGAATGCATGTTTAAATGAGAAAAAAATAAAATAAGGGACAATTTAGAAGAACTGGGGAATATAGCCTAGGTGTTGGGGAGACTTTTAAAACAAAACAGAAAACTGAGAAGCCATTAAGATAAACATGTATGACTACATAAAATGAAAACATCTTGTATGGAAAAAAACCCTAATAAGTCAAAAGACAAATGATAGAGTGGGAAAATATATTTGCAATATGACAGAAGGAAAGTTAATATGCATGTTGAGATCCCACAAATTCACAATGCAAAGACAAACCCAGTCAATAGCCTCCTGGGCTGCCCGGCCTCAAGAGAAGAGGAAGAAGGAAGGAGGAGACAGGGCGGGAACTAGAAGGGCTCAGAGCCCAAACAATGGAGGGGCAGGTGGACCCAAGTGTGTAGATAAAGTGGAGAACCTATGGCATAGTGCCCACCCCCAGGTGCACCTGTGCCCCAGGACAGGTTTGGAGTTGGCCCAAAGCCCCCAAGAGCCTAGGCAAAGAGGCGCAGCTCGTTCACCACCCACAGCACTGGCATTGCAGGAGGAGAGCTCACTCAGACACAGTCACAGGCCGGCACAGCAGAGCCTGGAGGCTCTGTTCTGATCCTGTCTCTATTTCCCAGAGGTGTCCTCCCAGGGCTTGGAGCTGCTCCTCTGACCAGGCACTGAGACAGGCTCTAGATGGTCCTCCCGGGTCCCCAGACTTGGCTGTGTTGGCTCATGCAATGGGCAACATAAATCTGGATGTCCCAGTCCTTTCGTACCTTGGGCTTGGGATGGCATGGGGATGGCAGTGCTATTGGGGGTTGCAGTGTCTTTTGGGGTTCCTGCTGATGGGGTCCTCAGGCCAGTCCAGCTGAGAGAGGAAGCTTGCCTTCAGCCCTCCTCCTGTTTCTCCTCTTTCCACCTCCTGCCCCATGGGCCTCCTCAGCCTGGGCCAGGGGCTCCCCATTGTGACCTCCCTTCTTGCCTTCTCCAGGGTTTAGTTCATGCTGAATTATAAGTCCTGCTCTGCCTGCCTCTGACCAGCCTGGCCACCTCCCCGGCTCAAGGTCATGAGTCAAGTCCCCTGATGTGGGCAGATCTTACCTCAGGTTGGCTGAACGTAGCTTCAGCCTCCCAGACTTCCCTTCTCTCCATCCCAAAGGAGAACCAAAACAAAGGGACCCAAAGACTTCCTTCCCATGAAAAATGAAATTGGAGATGTGATGAGGAAGGCTCTTTACCTCTATCGTATTCTTCCCCAAAACCCATAACCCCAGTCTAACTGTGAGAAAACATCAGACAAATCCAAACTGAGGACATTCTACAAAGTCTCTGAGAAGTACTCCTCAAAACTGTCAAGGTCAGGAAAACCAAAGAGATGGGAACTGTCACAGACCAGAGAAAACCAAGGAGACGTGACAACTGTCATGTGGTACCCTGGATGGGATCCTGGAGCAGAAAGAAGATGTTAGTGGAAGAACCAGGAAAAGACAAACACAGTCTAGAGTTCAGTAGATAGACAGACAGAGAGATGATAGATGATAACCCTGGCGCAGCAAAAATACTAATAATTGTATCTTAGCACTTCATAGTGGTTACTATGTGGCATGTGCTGTTCTAAGCTCTTTCCATGTAGTAACTTATTAATCATCATAAAACAACATCCAACTAAACTTCCTCATCACTCTACAGCTGAGGAAACTGAGGCAGAGTGCATTTGTGAACCACTGATGGAATATCATGCACTCGATATGTGCCTCACTCGTTATGGCAACTCTTTATGATGTGGGTGATCATCACCTTTTTTACAGATGAGAAAACCAAGACTCCGAGGAGGTAAGTGACTTGCCCAAGGTCACACAGCTAGTTAGTAGGAGAGCCTAAAACCCAGGCAGGCTGGTTTCAAGGATCATGCCCATGTCTACTTCAAATGTTTTTTGGCCAGTGGGCATTCATGTATTCAGCCACCAAACCGTGAACTGGGAGTCCCCAGTGCCTACCCTGGGGCCTGGTACACTGTTGGCGCTCAGTGCGTGAGGGTGCATAGAAGTGTCACATGCAGTTCCTGTCTCAGGGAGCCCACCAGCTATGAGAACATCCAAATTAACAACAGGCAAAGCCCCTGTTTGATTGAAGCTGGAAAAGGAAGCCATAACCAGGGTGTGGGCAGAGGGACCATGGCCTAGTTTCTTCTTCTCTGCCCAAGTCCGAGATTTGTCCTAACCTTGCTTCCTGAATCCCTAGTCAGCAGGTCACAGCCCTTCCTCTCTCTCTGCCTGCTCTCTTCCTGTCTTCCGTGGGAGCACTGCTACCATAGCAGATGGACCACTGGGCACCAGAGGCTGAGAAGGGGAGTAGGGGGCATGAGAGACAAGACAGGGTCCTTGGAGCGGCACCAACCCAAGGCTGTTGCCAGGATGTCGCATCACAGCTTGTCCACATGTGAGGCAGGGGCATGGTCATGACCTGCCTCTGTCCAGAGAATGCAGAATAAGACTTTCTTCCCTCGGAAGGGCTGACCTGAGGCCTTGTTCCTGCCCCCTACATTGATGCCAGGGTCGTCAGCTCTCCACAAATGGATCACAACCCCTTGGAGGCTCATCCAAGCCCCTGAGCTCTCAGAGCCTCAGTGTCCTCAACTGCAAAACTAGGATAACAGTCACTACTGCCCCTTGCAGGGCTTTGGGGGAGCAAATACAACGATGGATGTAAAAGCACGTCTTAAAGGTGACAGCTACACGAGTAACAGCAGCTCAAATGACAGATGGGAAGGAAGAAGCACTTCCTTCCCCAAGGAAGTGCTGCTTCCCTGAAGGCAACCAGTGCTGCATTTTGTGAGCGCCAAGAGGCAGAAAATGTCCCCTCGCTATAGCAAGAACCAGCTGCTCTCAGAACCTGCTTCCTGGGGGCCTCTGCACTTGACATGCTCAGCTCTCTGTCCCTAATTTATTACACCAGAGTGGATCGTGACCCACAACATCTCTGCATCCCCATTTCATTGTGGTGGAAATTGAGGCCTGGTGTGGAGTGAGACAGGGTCCCAGCAGGTTGAGCAAATCCCTGAGATGCTGGGCATTCAGGCAGAGTGCCGGGCCTCATTTGCTGCCCATTGCTGACAGAGGAGTAAAGAAAGGAGATGGGCCTGTGCTCACAGGACTGACTGTCATCACTCACGGTGTGCGGGGCACCCTTCAAGGTGCATTAGGAACTTGAGCCAGGCCTTGGAATCATACAGCCCCCAATCCACCCTAGAGCATGAGCCTGGGGGCACTTTCTCAGAGCCACCAAGTCACACAATTCTGGAGGCATCATTCACATCGTAGTCTGTGAGGTTCGCAGCCCAGGGCTGTGGCCCTCAGAGTTCTGGAGCTGGCAGGGACCCAAGGAAACTGACAATGGAAGGGACCCCTGACCCATTCTCAGTCCTTGGCTCTTGGAATTCCAAAGGAGGGAATTTGTGGTATCAGGCCAAAAGCTTGTTTCTTGTACCCTTAATTCCAGGGCCCATGACTTCAGGCAGAATTCAGTGGTTCCTGGGTTTAGCAATCCCCAGAGCCTCCAACAGACGGATGTTGAAGGGGTAGTTGGATTGTGGGTAGACGTGGTAAACCTAGATGTGGGGCAGTCCGGACCCAGAATGAGGACTGCGATGTGTTGCTGTGAAGCTGGGCTGGGAAGGAG